AACCACCCCCGCACGCCCCCCACCATCCCCAGCCTGGGAAGAATGGACCTCTCAGCCTTTACATGTGATCACGCTCCTGCTTCAGTCACTTGAGGGCAGTTGGCATAAACCGTACAAGACAAATGTGCGTGCGTTTTCCAGGCCTCTTTTTTTAAACATTGGAAAAAGGTTTGGGGGCATTTCATCGGCAGCATCTGTTGAACTTCAACAACGTCAGCTATTTGCTCGGAACAAATATAAACTGTCCTGGCTTAAGCAAGCTCTGACCCAGGCTCGAGAAGACGTAAGTCATGTTTCCTCATCCGTCCTCTTGTCAGAGGGCACCGAGGCCTGACCTCGGGACTTGTTGCACCATCAGGGAATGGAGCTGGTCAGGGCTGGTAAGGCCTGACCGCGCCCTGCGCCCCGCTCCTGTGGGGAGATGTTTACTTACACAGAGAGGAGACCTTGGGGCATCCAAGCTTTGTGGTGGTCACTGTGACACATAGAACAACCCAGCGAGTGATTTTCCTGGGGCTAGTGAACAATAGACAAAAATAAGTTTACGTTTGTTCTCAAAATAAATGTGGGAGGGAAGGAACCCACAGCAGCAGAGAAGCGTGAATCGGGCCGCATGTACCCACCGAGAGAAGCTTGTGGGAAAGTTTACGTCCCCTCTTTTCTGATTCCAGATGAGCCCAGCTGAGTTGCTTTAGTCTAGGGCCGCTCTGGCTGGGGAGCCAGGGCTGTGGAGCCTATTCTGCAGGGGATCCCTGGCCAGTGTCTCTTTCTGGGTCCGAGACGGCAATCCAGGGGTGGGCGGTCGGGGTAATGGCTGATGAGGCTGCTACTCTTGCTGCACCTTGTGGACATTTGCTCCCATGGGGTCGGGGCTGGGAGGCGGATAAGGTCGATCTTTTGCGTTAAAGGAGAACCCTCATTCTCTTTCTCGCCCCGGGTTTTTTCTTCGGGCTCAGACCAGGGAAACTGCGTCGTTTTGAATCCCTTCCCATCAAAGATGGCCATGGACCCACCTGTCTCTGAGACTAATACTGGGACTGGGAGGCCCTGGACGCCGTGTGTGTGTTTCTGGGGGGGCATCTTTCTACCCACTGAGAATACTCTCTAAGTCCAGCCCCAGCCTTGTAGGCCCTGGAAGCCAGTCCTGCCTCACCTTCCCCTGCCTTCTGCTCCCTGCTCCCTTCTGCTCCCTTCCCCTCCTCATCTCTTTGGCCTTAACTCCCACCCCCATCCCTCTTGTAAGTCTGCTTCTTCTCCCCTCAACTGTTCACCCTCCACACAGAAATGCAACTGAGAACCTAACTCCCCAAAAGGATCCTTTCTATAAAACATCCGTTGTCGGATTTCCTTTGGGCCTGCTGCCATATTTCTATGGCACTTCATTCTCCCAGGCCAGTGGCATGAAGAACTATAGGAGAGGGAGAGGGGACGGGCTCCGTAGGGACCTGGCCACAGCAGAAGAGGGACAGTGGCTGCCAGAGAGGAGCTGGGAGTGTTCACCAGGGGGATGCGTAGGGGCACGCAGACGAACGCAGGGGGTCTGGGGAAGGGGCCTGGGTGGGAGCTCGGAGCCTGGATTAAGGCTCCAGAGTTGCCAAGAGCTCCTGGGAGACCTCAGCCAGGCGATTTCCCTCCCTGAGCCTCACTGACGCACCGGTCGGTTGGTGAGAAGGACAGACTGACTAATCGCAAAGGTGTCTTTCTGCTTGACTTATAAAGTGTACGGGAATGGAAATGGGGCTGAGGAGTTGAATGTGGTTTTCTCGTGGTTAGCAACTTTTTTGTCTTAGGCTACCATTTATTAAACATCTCTGTGATTACCAACGGCACTTTTATAATAATTCCTGAGCATTTTAATATATGGTTCTTTTACTCCTCGGCATAACCCTAGGAGGTAGGGACTGCGGTCACCCCCATCGTGCCGATGAGGAAGCGGAGGCACGCAGAGACGGAGTAACCGGCCCGAGTAGTGCAGCGGTGATGCAAACCAGGCCGCCTGGCTCCAGAGCCCGGGCCCTCAGCACCGCACTCAACGTTCCAGGCACTGGGCTAAATGTTTGCCAAACCCTCTCCATTTTGCAGTTAAGAAATCTGAGACTCAGAGCAGTTGAGCAACCGCTGAAGGTCACACAGCTGGGAAGCAGGAGAGATGGGATTGGAAGTCGGCCGGGCTCCAGGGCCTCTGTTTTTCCCCACCCACCTCCCGCAGTCCTGCCAGGTCCTCGGGTCCCCGAAGCAAATTTATCCAATGTCCCTACATTGCAATGTCTCCTTAAGCAAGTTAGTTCCTCCTTCTGGGCCTCAGTTTCCCAATCTAGAGAAGGATTGGGTATTGGCCCAATAGATCTCGGAGGTCCCTTGTAGCTCTGGAAGCCCATGCTTTGTGAAGTGTTGTGCTTCTTGCTGAAATGACAGGTTTGTGGCCTGAGGGTGTAGCCAGGGATGATGAGGGGACAAGGGCTGACAATGAAAAGAAGGGGAAAGCTGCAGGAGGCGTGGAAGGGCTGTGGGGCCCTGAACTTGGGATGATGGGGAAGTGGATGAAGGGGGGGGAGAGAGAGAGAGGGACGCCCTCAGAGGGGCCTCCCCAGTGAATCTGTTCCTTCTTCCCAGGGGTCCCTCAAAGGCCAGGACAGGCATATGAGAGTGTCAGGCAGGGGAGGAGGGCCAGGCCAGCAACAAGCCAAGGTCAGAACTCCTCAGATACAGCAGTTTGGGGAATTAACGTCGCCGGGGGTGGTGTTGTCTCTGTAAATACTTGGAGACATCCAGTTATTTTAGAGAAAAGTATTTGGAGCCGAGGTGGCATGTTTGTGCGGTTGGCCTGGCTTCCTGTTCATGACCGCTCTGTCACATTCCTCCCCTTCAGGAATGGAGGGTTTTTTCCCACCTGTAACCCCATTAGGATGTGCACACCAGAGGGCTCACACCCACACACATGGGGCACATCCCCCTGGGGGCCGCATAGGCACCCCTTGCCCCACGCTCGCTCGCTGGCATGCACACAGTTGCGGCCGCATCTTTAATATTTAATGCTGCCACTGCGCTGGGTCGCCGCTCCGCCCTGCTTGTGTCCCTGCCTGGCTCATTCCTCCCGGGGCACCGGTTCCTGCTCGGAGGCTGGATGACACGTCGTGCCCAGTGCATCCCTTGGGGGAGCGTGACATAATGTGCTTACGAGAGTAGAGAAGGGGCTTTGTTACCAGGCAGGACTCATTTTCCAGGAAGCTCTCTGCGCTTCAGAAAATTGATGGAATCACATTTTGTGTGAGTATCTCAGCCCCACCCCCTCCTCAGCCCCCTGAGCTGTTACAGCGCTGGACCCTTCAGGTCCCTCCTCGTATGTCACAGGTTGGACTAACCTGTCTGGCCTGAAGAAACCAGAGTTTTGGGCAGACATCAGGGTACCCAGTGACATGGATCTTGGGCCTGTGTGGGGCAGTGGCTGTTCCTGATCCCTGCCCTTCTGCGATGAGTATCCACACCATGGACAGCCATTGCTGCAACTGGGGCCTGTAGTGAGGGTTATAGACGGCCTGGCTCTCCAGCATCCGGCAAAGGGCACAGCCTCTCCTATGTGTCCCCTCCCAAGCCCCTTAATTCAGCACGCTGTGGTCTCTGAGCCCAGGGGGAGGGCTGCCCTCTAAACCCCAGTGTCGGGAGCCCAAGGGGACTGACAAAGGGTCAGAGCTGTAGTTCCAGACTGATAGGGGACAGATGAGCAGACCACTGAGAGTTCCCAGGCGTAGAGGTAACAGGGACAGCTTGGTTCTTTAAAAAGCTCTGCTCAGACCAGTGTCCTTGGGTCACTGCTGACCATAAAAACTGCAGCCCTGTCCCATGAGCTCTGGAAGGCTATTTGCAAGATGGACTCACTGCATGTCCTTCCCGTTCTCCTACCTTTTAGCCTCTTGGGCCTGTGTCACTGGATGGGCTCAGAGCACAGCTCAGTAGGCCTTCTGGCTCTGATCGTCTCTGAGAAATGAAGCCTGGGAGGGGAAGGGGGAAGTGGGGGTGGGCAGGTGGGGCGTGGGGGTTTGCAAAACAAGAACACACTCATTTGTCATTTACCAAAAAAATTTTTCCTTTCTTTTAAAGCTCTTGTTTCCTCAGGGGAAACTTTTATTTGTGTATGAGTAAAATGCACTGTCTTAATGAATTGAAAACAGAACAAGATGACATTATTTTGTCCCTGTGACAAAGAACAAAGCAGCAGCACATTGGCCTTCAGCAGCCAGCATTGTCACCCACACCCTGGCCCCAAGCCTTGCCCTCTGCCCTCTCCTCCATCCTAGCAGAATTGAGACATGAGAAGGTCTGGCCACGCGTCATCCCTGCCGCAGAGCCCTGGCTGGGAACATGGTTTTGGCCGGCTGGAGGCAGCTAGCCTGGCCTGCAGGAAACACCACACCTCCGCCCGTGGAAAGCCTGGGAAGGCAGCAGCCCGAGGGGAGGCAGAGGTGAGAGGGAAGCATGCTTTTAGGGAGGCTTTGAGGCTGCCATTTCTTGCTGGCATGGATGATAGTGGAAAAAGAGAGATGAAGGGAGGAATTCAGAGTTAGTCGACCCATTGGCGTCTCCCTTTCCCTGCCAAGCCAAGAAGCCTTCTCGCCACCTCTCGCCTTGGAGACATGGCCTTGTTTTCTGGAAGACCTGGCTTCAGCCCTTGAAGGTTCATTCTGAGGGCTCCCCAGGCCCTTGTACCACCCTAGCTCTCACCAACACTCATCCCTTCGCTTCGGGAGGTGTGAACTTTCTCGACTTTCATTTTTAGTTTTTGGTTTGGGGAAAACAGTTTTGGTATTGGAGCATTGCAGGATCTGGTAGCTCACCAGCCACGCCTCTACAAACTTGGTTGAGGTAGCTAGGGTTGGGCTGTGTCTGTCTCATGGGTTTTTGCCATGAGATAAACCTTAAGGGCCAGAACTACCTTTTCCTCAGCAACTTTTCTGTCCTGAGTCATGTCACCTGTTCCTTGTCCCCAACCTGCGAGCCCTGGGAGAGGTCCCTCAAGTCCAGGCAGAGGAGCCCCTATGGGGAGAAAGTGGTGGTGGTCTCGGCCTCTACACTCATCGAGGAGCGTCGGGTGTGTCTGCAGGAAGACCACTGCCGGAGCTGCTGCTGGCTGAGGCAACCCAGGTCCTTGAAGAGCTTGAAGAGGTCATTGCGAAACTTGACGCCAATGAAGGCGTATAAGAAAGGGTTGACACAGCAGCGGACGCAGGCCAGGCTGTAGGTGACATCATAGGCAATGTTGAGTTGCTTGCTGAGCTCACAGCTGCTGGTGGTGGTGATATTGAAACTGGCCACTGTCTGGGCCAGGACCACCCCATTGTAGGGCAGCTGGAAAGCTATGAAGACCACCACCACGGCAATGATCACCTTGATGGCCTTGTTGCGCTCAAAGTTGCGTGCCTGGAGGAGGGTGCGGATGATGACGAGGTAGCAGAAGCTCATGGCCACTAAGGGGATCAGAAAGCCCACCACCATCTGGGCCACCTGGATGGCGATCAAGGCCTCCATGTGCTCGGTGATGAGAGAGCACCGCAAAGCTTGCTCGCTGTTGCTCTTCTGGATGCCGCTGTACAGCAGCTCTGGGATGGAGAGCACCGTGGCCAGCATCCAGATGCCCACACAGGAGAGCTTGCTGATGAAAAGGACTCGGGCCCGGTGGCGGTGGGCTGAGACGGCCTGGACAATGGCCACATAGCGGTCGATGCTGATGCAAAGAAGCAGGAGCATGCCACTGAAAAAGCTTATCTTATAGATGACGAAGATGAGCTTGCAGAAGTGGACACCAAAGGTCCAGGACTTGGCTGCGCTGTATGCCCAGAAGGGGAGGGTCATGAGGAAGAGGATGTCCGCCATGGCCAGGTTGAGCAGGTAGGTGTCGGTCATGGTCTTGAGCCTCTTGAAATAGATGTAGGTCAGCACAACCAGCCCATTGCCCAGTAGACCCACGCAGCAAATGACGGAGTACATGATTGGGAGGAACCAGGCCTTAAAGTTCCGCACGTCCCTCTTGAAGCACACGGGCTCGTACAGCGTGTAGTCCACCGTGGTGTTTTCTCCAATGTAATCGTCCGTGACCTCATCTTGGCACAGGCACACCTGCAGGGAAGGAAACAGGGGAACATGATCCAGCTTAGCCAAGTGGGTCCAAATCTCGCTGCCTCGGGGTTGCCCAGAGCAGCGATTTCAAAGTGTGGTCCCCATCGTCAACATCGTCATCACCATCATCTGCACATTCTTGGACCCCACCTGAGGCCTATGGCACCAGAATCTCGGGGAGTGGGACCCAGGCATCTGTTTTTCTAAACGTCCCAGGTGGTTCTTTGGTTTGCAATCGGTGCTTCTCAAATTTCGACATGTATATGAGTTACCCGGGGATCTCGTTAAAGCCTATGTCCTGATTTAATAGGCTGCGGTCCTGCCTTTCTACTAAGTGGCTAGCGTCTGATTTTGCCAACCCTGAGAGACTTGACCTTACATGTGCGGACAGTGGACTGGAAACAGTCTGGGCTTTGGGGTCAATTGAACCTTGAGATGGAGAAACACACTTCATCTCTCTGAGCCTCAGTTTTCTCCTCTGTGAAATGGAGATGAATGCTCTCTTCCTTCCCACGGTTGCGGTGAGGTACCTGACTCAGGTTTAGGCACTGCGCTGTCTTCATGGAGGTTTTATTTTGTGGGAGCTGTGACTTCCTTCTTGAGCCTCCCTCAGGACCTGGCAGCGTCCCGTAGACTTCCAGGAGGGAGCCTACAAAATACCTCAGCTTTTGAGGGAAAATCCACCTTGGCGTTAAGTTTGGGGAGGGCCTGGGGTGAGAAGAGAGGAAGGCAAAAGTTCTGCTAAGAGACTGTGTAGCCCCAGTTTGGGACAAGCTGCCGTGATCATGGGCGGGGGGGCGAGCGACTTGACGACTTTTATGGACCCCTGGGGTCTGGGGTTCAGTGTCCGTGACACAGCAGGAACTCAGGCAACACGTGCTGGTGCACTGAATTTCACGGCTATGGCAGCCGTGACCCCCGGGTCGCCACCCCCTCAATGTGACCCAGTCCCCTCGGAGCCCTTGGAAGAAAGCACGGCTTTGTCCCCCACCATCTCCTCCCCCCTCTCTGCCTCTCTCTTCCTCCTCGTCTCTTCAGGCGGATCCCAATCAGCTCAAGGCTTTTTTTTTTTTTTTTTTTTTTTTTTAAGCCTGCCTTTGGAGTAGGGTGAAGGTTTACTTGGCCTGCTGTGATTTTATCAATGAAGGAGGGCTCCCGAGACTGGTCACACCTTCGTGCTCAGCGACACAGAGCCGGCTGGGAGCTGGGCTGGGAGCTGGGGGTCCCTTCTCTGGGAACAGGGCTCTGGGCAGCTCAGCATGAAGGATTCTCACACAGTTGGGGAGCTGGAGGGATGTTAAAGATGAGGAAAGGGTGGCAGGCATGCAGAGCAGTGATGTGGCTTGCGCCAGGTTACAGAGCTGCCCAGTCTCTGGATTTCCCTGTATCTTGTCTTGCCTTTCTCACTTTCAATTCTGGATCCATCACCATCCTGCTTGCGGGACAGGATGAGGAAGAAGTCATGGCCAGGAGCCTTTTCTCTGGGTATTGTTTTCTCAAAAAGTCAGTAGCAACTCCTTTCCCCCATCTGGGCGTGATTGCAGCCTGCAAGTCCATGGCAAGGCCCAAGGCCTTAGGTCTGGGGCCCCTGGACATCAGGGGGTTCGGTGGCTTTCCTGGGGGACCGCGTGCTCAGGCTCTGCGAAGCGGCTCCCCACCACCCCTGCCTTCTATTTCCCTCTTTACTAGCCTCCCCCTCCACGAGCCACCAGACTTGACGCCTCTGCAGCCCACAGCCCCACCACATCCTGCCCTGCCTGGGCCACCCCCATCCACCCAAGAGCAGAATGAACCCAGCTGTCCCTCATCCCCTCCCCCACCTCCCAGCCTCCTTTGGTGGTAATACAGCCCCTCTAGAGTCCTGGAAACAGGGAAGAGCGGGGGAGGGAGTGGTGATGGGGCCAGGCTGTGGGCTGCGGCCCAAGCTCCAGGGGGCCGCTGGGAGGGGGTTTTGGGCACAGCGCCCAGCTTGGGGCCCGCTTCTGGCCAGAGCTCCTGGAAAGCAGCCCCTCTGGCCTCCAGACCTGGGGAAGAGCCAGCTCTGAGAGGCACTGCCTCTCCAGCTCTTGTCTCAGCTGCCCCTCCCCCTCCAAGACAGCTCTCACCCCCAAGAAACAGGGGAGAGTCGACTCCACAAGTGACAGTTTGTTCTAACTCTGGCACTTTGATGGGGCAGATTTACTGTCTCCGCTTCTGGGATTGAGAAGCAAAGCCTCGGACACTGGAGGCCTTTGCTCCTGCAGAGTTGAGGCCGCTATAAAGCGTGTGCGCCCCTTGGCGTTCTCCCATCGCCACGGTCCGGGGGCCCATCCTCCCCAACAGCGGGATTCAGATGGGTCTCTATTTTGCAAAAGGGAACCGGGCTTCTAGGGGGGGCCTTTGGCTGGAGGTTGAGGAGGGAGGCAGCTTTGGGGCGCTAAAATAGTAATCAGGCCGCCACGGCAAAGGTTCTCTCAGCTCATTAAGACATGTGAAGTTTTACGTGCACAGGTGTGCACGGGTATATGCAAAACTCAGCAACCCGACAGCCTTTGCTTTTTGCAGCTCCTCTCTCTCTAAGGCCTCCGCCGGAGCCCCCATTTCTGCCTCTTGGCTGGGGATATTGGAAGTGGGTGGGGAAGGGGTGGTAACTTCTTTCCTCAGTTTTAATTTAAATGAAGTAAATGCCCTCTCTAGGATCACTCAACAGGTGGAGCGGGGTGACCATCAGCTTAACGAATGGCGAGGGGGTTAGTGTCCGGGTCTGTTTCCTTCCAGCGAATGTCCGGCTGCTCCACCAGAACCTCGGACTCAGGAGAGGAGGGTTTGGGGACACGGGTGTGGAGGAGGGAACGGACCTCACCTGGAAAATGACAAGGAGGGCCACCACCAGCACGCTTTTCATTGGCTTCCCTGCAGGAGACAAGGTGAGAAAGTTATTGTTTGGCAGGGACAGCTCTCTGTTCTTAAAGAAAGTCGCTGAGACGGAGGTACTGATGGAACAGAACGTCAGAACCAGGTCGCGCCTCGAGGCCTCTGGCCAGCAGCCCTCCCTGCTGCTTCGTCCTCCACTGTGAGGTCCCAGGAAGGAGCAGGTCAGAATACAGGGCAGCCTCCCCTGCCTTGGCTCTTCAGGGACTCTCACGGGACTGGAAGGTCCACCTTGGCCCAGACCAACCCTCAAGGTCGAGTGTCAACTGATCGTCACTCCGGGTCTGAATGGCCTCCTCCCGCGCTAGGTTATGCAGGAAGCAAGGCCCTGAGGTGGCGGTGGGAGAGGTGTGTGGGCATGCACACGTGTGTGCCCCCCGCACGGCTCCCGTGCCGGCAGCCACTGGGGAGCATTTCTCCTACGCCCAGCTGAGCAGGCAGCCATAGAGGAAGCCCGTGGTGTGTCCTGAGAAAGGCTGGCTGATTTCACAGGGCTGGGGAGAGGAGTGTTACTTACCGGCCTCCAGGAATGGAAGGGAGGGTGTTTTGGGGACCCATGGGACTCCCTAACACCCCTTCATTCAACTGACATTCATCCAGCACTGACTGCGGGATTGCCGGGCTCATGTTAGCCTGCCTTCGAGGCAGGGACCTCTTGCTCTTTACCCAGAATAGAGGAGCGGCGCAGCAATTGTGTGCTGATGAGTAAATGAAAGAATGAATGCCCTGCTTGCCCGTCAAGGGAGGAAGCACCAGGGTGGCCTGAGGAGACACTGTCCTGTGTGGCAGTGTGGCAGGATGGAGACTCTTCCCTGAGGTAACTACTGTTTTTTTCCTGACTGAAGCGCGTATATATGTTTTTTTTTTTTTAAGTTGTTTCTAATTCAGAGCCTTAGGATGTGGGCGGAAGGGGAACATGAGGTCATGTTCAAGAGCAGGGGTCAGAGCCTGGGTACATTTGGAAATCAGGAGGGTCTCCTTGGGTGTGAACGGCAGGCTGAGACCCCGGGTTGTCACAAGGCCTGACGTGTCGCGGATGCAGGATGGGCACTGACTGCCCTGTTCTGCTTTGTGACCGAGCTGAGGGCTGGGCCTGGAACTCATTTCCTCCTAGGGCTGAGCAGGGAGGACAGGTCATCTCACTTAACAGCCTGAGAGCAGCCTGAGGGAAGGGACTGTGCCTTCATCACCTTTGTAGCCCCCTCCCCATGACCTGACCCTCAGGTCTGGCCTACAGGAAAGCGTCCGTGATGCCATCAATGAATGCCAAGCCAAGATCACCAGCCCTGTCACACTTTTAGCTTCAGCAGGGACAGGAAAGTGGTTGGGACTCTGGTAAACACCTTCTGGAACTCCCCCCTGCAAGTCCCCACCCAGCTCCAGCCAACACAGGCTCCTGCTTCCCAAGAGGAAGCCACGCATTCCCAAAGTTTGTGCATTTGGTCACAGCACCACCTGCTGGAAATCCTGCTGCATGACATCCAATTTTTCTGTACGTTTGCTGTACGTTTTTCCCCTCAAGGGATTGCTTAAGGTGGGGATTCTGGGCTTGGGGGGAAGCGGGGGTCTCTGGGGAATGGCAAAAGGTAATCAAGCCACATAAATAGATAGGTGTTTCTCCCATCTCAAGCAAGTTATACTGCATGCTATTGTTACACGGGTCTTCCTAAAGCATGACTTGGATGCAACCCCCCACTGCGCCCTCCCTCTAAATCCTTAGGATCTCTGTACCCAACCTAGGGAGGGAGCCCCTGATGCCTAATTAGTAAGGCCATCAAGCCCTCTGCTGTCTACTTGGACCTGCGTTCCTAGCCGTGTCCTTTTTTTCTGGGGACCGGTACCCACTGTCCCATTGTCTGCAGCTTGCATCTGAGTATTTGCAGCCCTGGGAAGAAATGGGTTCTTGTACAACATCATAGCTCCTCTCTCTCATTCCCCCTTCTTTGCTCCCCTGAGCACACGCCCATATCTTTGCTCTAACAACACTCTCTTCAGTGTTAACACACAGCTCATCATCCACTGACTCATCTTGATGTGAAGCACTCTAGGTTTCTTTAAACAAATGAGTCTGTCGGTTACTCTAGAGAAAGCCTGTTCTGACTGTCAGCGTGAACTGAAAAACCTCAAAGTTGTGATAAGATACAACGGGTGAAATAAGAACAAGACCTCTGTTTCTATTTTACTCCATTAACCCCTTCTCTCGGGCCCTGTCTTTTTTTTTTTTTTTCCGCTAGCTAGAGTAGGATGTGGGAGCTGATGTGTGCATGTATGTGATTTCTCATCCCAGGTATATTGGAGACAACAAATGAGCAAGGGTCTTTCAGGACCAGCATAGGCCATTTTCAAAAAAGGTAACCGAATGGGAACTTAGGGGAACTCTGGTATGTGGCACAGGGGCCTGGTTGACGGCCATGAGTCAGATCGTTTCTGTCTGTTAGAAAGTCATAAAGCAACTCTCTTTGGGCAGTACCTTGGGTGGGACAAATGAAGTTGGGAATCTCGGGGGTTAAGGCAGGGTTTACTCATGTGTTGGGTATTTCTGAGTTCTTGAGTTTCTAGTAAGGATCGTGATGAAAAGAAAATTCCCTAGAACTCCAGCCTGAGCCCCAGCAAGAGAAAATCCCTTTTTGTCTGGGACGATGAGATCGCTGGTTAGCTGCTCCCCTAAGCCCTGTGTTTCCACTCTCATATTTTCCAGGCCCTTTGGGCCACCCAGGGAGTCATGGCTGCCCTTCAGCTGGCCCCGAAAGCCACCCTAAACTTTTCCTTTTTTGTAATTCCTTACTTGCCGATATAACTCCTCTTTTTTGGGTCAGTGGAAGGGGAAGGAGGAAGCAGGGAAGTGGTAGGAATCTGGAGAGTAGGTGAGAGGCCTGGGGACCCTCTTCCAGACAGTATGCGGGGGGGAGGGAGCTTGTTGACTCTTGCAGTCACTATGGTATCAACTGCTTTATACAGTGATATAATTTGTATTTGTTAGGTTCTCGCTATACCAAACTATTTCCATGTACAATCATTTCATCCTCACAAAAGCCCCATGAGGTAGGTACTGCTACTGTTCCCATGCAGCGGTAAGGAAACGGAAGCACAGCGGGATTCGTAACTTTTGCAGAGTCCCAACTGGCTAGCAGAGGAGATGGGCTTTGAACCTGTCCAACTCCAGAAATGGCGCTCCCAACAGCTCTTCTGTGCTGCTGCTTAGTCTTTACGTATCTCTCTTTCATAACATCCTGTGAGTTATCCCTTGTTATCCTCATTCTGTATTTCAGAAAATGGGGGCCCAGAGAGGTCAAGCCACTTGCTTAGGGTCACACAGCTGCTAAGAGATGGACGTGAGATTTGAATGGATCTCTCGCCAATGCGTAACCCTGCAGGTCCCGTGAGCCTGCCCTGCATGGGGACCTCCGTGGAGCACAGAGGAAACCCTCACTCGCCCATGTCACAATGGTCATCCAGTTCTGTTGCTTTTCTCCCCCAGCATCTCAGAGCTAGTCCCACCTGCCCTGACATAAGGCTTTGCTGCCCCCTTGCTGCCATAGAACTCCTTCTGAAACACAAATCTCATCCTTTAACTCAACTAATTGAAAAAGAAAAACCTTCACTGGCTCCCCATCACTTTCTGGATAAAGCCCAAGCTCCTTAGCAATGCAATACAGAGCCTTAAGCATAAGCCCTGCCTCTCCCTCCTGCCTCCTTTCCCCGCTTCCTCCGTGGCATGACCAGAACTGACTGCCTGAGGGCCTGCAGGCTGAGCCCCCAGGCTACTCCGTGAGTGGCATGGAGTTTACAGAGAATTAGGTCTGACTCCTTTTAAGTGGGGCCTGCACCCTCTGGTCCATGCTACTCTGCTCTCCTTACTCCGAGAACCCATTCCCACATTTACCTTGTTGGCCTCTGATGGCAGTTGAGTCTGATATCACTGTCCCTCCTTGGGCCTCTTGCTTCTTCACTGGTTTGCTAACTCCTACATACCCTTCAACCCCCAACTTAAATGCCCCCTGACTCATGTTCCCGATTCCTTCCTTTGAGCTTTATAAGTGTTTTGCCCGTTACCCCATCAGCAATATATCCCACTCTGTTGCATTGATATAGTGACATATGTGTCTTTCTCTCCACCAGACTGTTCTTGGCCGAATCCTCAATCAATGGTAGTTGATAGAAAGAAAGTACCAAGCAAAGGGGAGAGATTTTCCCACAGCTCTCCTCGGCTGTGGCATTCCCCTCCCCGGCTGAGCTCCCAGCGGCCCAGGAGGGATGGCCCTGCATTCCTTCAGAATGCCCCTCTGCGGCTGCATCCGGCCAAGCTGTGAGAGAGCAGTCTCTGGCAGGTTTATTTATTTTTCTCTGCTTTGGAGAATTCTAACTGAGATCTTAGGCCACAATTTCTTTTCTTCTTCTTCTTTTTTTTTTTCAGTCCTCACTGGAAGGTATTTTCATTGATTTTGGAAATAGAGGAAGAGAGAAAGGGAAAGAGAGAGAGAGAGGGAAAGAGAGAGAAAGAGAGAGAGAGATCAATGCGAAAAACATCAATTGGTTTTCATTCGTGCCTTGACTGGGGGTTGAACCTGCAACCTAGGTATATGCCCTGACCAGGAATCAAACCTGCAGTCTTTTGGTGCACAGGATGATGCTCCAACCAACTGTCACCCAGCCAGGGCTAGGCCACATTTCTTGAAAGTGGGGAGGCCACCTCCCGGTTGTTCATTCAAATTGTGAGAAAGGCCAGCCCAGCCAGGGTTTGGCATTTTCATTTTGTGTAACAGAAACTCAGCCTCCTCACCAACCCTTTACTCGCTGCTGGGCAGATGAAGAACATGCCTTATCAACGGTCCACAGCCTGTTTTGAGCAAAAGCTTCTCAGTGGCTTTCCCCTCCACCATGGGTACTTTAGGCTTGGCCCGCTACTTTGGGCTTGGCCGTTGGGGCTCTTTCAAGTTGAGCAAAGCGGCAAGAAGAACACCCTTTTCTCATGGACCAGACGTTACCCTCCCTCCCTGCATCAAAACCTGGGGTCCTAGCACCCCCAAACCTCAGTCTGCAGGGGGACTCTTGTGGTGTGCCAGAGCTGGCTTTCAAGGCATGTTAGCCAGTGCTATCATCTCTCTCTGACTTGCATTCAGTCATTTCACGGCTTGACATTGGCTGGAAGCTTGAAATCAGCCATGGTGGGAGAATTTACACTAGGGAAATTGGCAAGCACTACAAATCAGGGCAGTCGTCCACCCTGGGGAGCCTGTTTTCCAGCATTTACCAGCCCACCCCTGGGACACGGCTGGGACGTGGCTTGGACACAGCTCCCTTCTCAGAGGTCAAACAGAGAGCCAGGAGCAGGGTCTGCAGTGGACGACGACTGCATCCTGGGACTGTGGTCAGCGCGGGGACAGGTGGCTGGGAAGTGGGAGCAGAGGGTAGGCTGCTGGCAGGAGAGGACGTTGGAAGAGATTTTAGAACACAAAAACCATCTGAGATCTTCACATCATTTGTTCATTTCGTAAACATTTTCTGCTCACGCCCCCAAAGTACCTGGAATTCATAGATACGAGAGTAGTACCCTGCCTCCCAGTGTTTCAGCCAGTGCGTGGGGTGGCCACGTTAGCCCTGTCACGGCTGTTTGCTGGGTCCACCCAGGTTTCCGGGCTGGCGGGAAAGGCAGAGATGAAAACAAAAGGCTGTGGTGTGGTGGGGAGGTTTGTGAGGACAGCAGAGGGTGCACCAAGGAACCTTCACTTTTTAAAGCCAGCCCCTTGTGGCTTTGAGGCCGCTGTGTACTTGCTTGTTGCTGAGAATGAACCATCCAGGAACCTGGCCTTCGTAACCTCCGCGGGGTCTGACTCCATGGCTGAGATTTATAAACGGGGCATCTGGAGCTGGGGGACCCCTCTGAACCCCCCAGAGCTTCCGTGATACGCTCTCCGATTGAGACCAAGGTTCGATGGGACGATGGGCTTTTTAAAGGGGAGAGTCATCCGCCGGGGTAGCAAAAGTGAGTAAGTGAGGTGGGGGGCTGTGCCGGAGGCCCGGACTTTGACTTCTCCAAGTTGAATGCCCCTTCATGTTCCACTTTATGTCGCTCACCCAGGCTTTCACCTGCATTGGGCACCGGCACGGCCGGTGGGATGTACAGCAGAGACAACCGCCCAGCTTCCACTTGCAGGGCATAGCATCATTTACACAATGCAGCCACCTGGCACATTCACCTTGAATTTGCTCTTCTTCCAAACCCCAAGAGATGCTAATCGCTATTCAGCAGCGGGAAAAGGTGGGAATCAGAGGGGGAGTGGAGGGTCCAGAGCCCTCCAAGAATTTCTCCCTGAGAAACAGGTCTAGAGAGTCTCAATCATTGCCCCACGCTGAGGTGAGAACAGGTGCTGCCCAGGTCGCTACCAGTCCCAGCCTTGCTACCTTCCTCGGTCCCACTGTTCGGGAAAGACATCACTTCAACCCCTTTGTCTGTCCTGGTACCAATGGTTGCTCCCTCTCCCAAGTCTGAAAGGCGCACCCTCTGTGCCTGGGAGAACAGGATGACATTCTGACGCCCACCAAAGCAGCACGGGACTTCTTCTGCAGGCTTTTCCATGCCTTCCGCCCTCACCCTCCGCCCCCGTTCCACAAATTCAGTCTGGGTGTCAGGGTGACTCCAGTACTGTTGTTTCACTCACCCAAGTCCATGGCACTCTCAGGGCCGCTGAAACCACACAGGAAGGCTGTGCCGGGGCTTGTGCTCCCCTGTCTGGGGAGGAAGTGGTATGTGGCCCTTATAAGTAGCAAGAGAAGACACCCTCTTCCCAGCCCCTTTCAACGTAAGTGGTGTGAGAAGTGCCGAGGTGCCAGCCCACTCGCTGGTCATAGGATCATGAATCATTGGGTCATTTACATTCAAAACTCCCCTATGCACCCCTGCAGTGCAAAGATGACAGGGCTAGCCCCAGGTAGGGGAATAGGGGCCGTTTACTGACTCAACAAGCCCCGATAGCCTGAATTCCACGTGTGGGGGAGTCAGAGACCCCGTGAGAGCCGCGAGAGCTGTGTCCCCGTCCTTCCTTCGCCTGTGTTACAGGGCGCTGCATTTCCCAAGCTACTTTGCCCTCTGGAGCCTGGGTATGTTTGGCCAATGAGAGGCACTGACAAATGATGGACAGTAGAGGAGAGGGGATATGCCCAAATGTATCCTTTCTTCTTTTTTCAAAAAGATTTTATTTATTTATTTTTAGAGAGAGGAGAAGGGAGGGAGAAAGAGAGGAAGGGAAACATCGATGTGCAAGAGAAACATCTTGCCTCTGGCATGGGTTGCCTCTCACACACCCCCCGCTGAGGACCTGGCCTGCAACTCAGGCACATGCCCAGACTGGGAATGGAGCCTGCGACCTTCTGGCCGCAGGCCAGTGCTCAAACAGCTGTGCCACACCAGCCAGGGCCTTTTTCCTTTTTTAAAATTCTTTTCTTTTTTTCTTTTCTTTCTTCTTTTTTCTTTTATTTCCTTTTCTTTCTTCTTCTCTCTCCTCCTCTCCTCCTCTATTTCTTCTCTTCCTTTCCTTTCTTTTATTACAGCTTTCTGAGATATAATTCACATGTAAAGTTATCCCTTTTCAAGTGTACCAGTCAGTGTTTTTTGTATATTCACAGAGTTGTACAATCATCACCACAATCAATTTTAGAGTGTTTTTATCACCTCCTCCTGTAAAACACCCCCTACTCATTACCAATGACCCCCCTCACTCCCCCTCACCTTTGCCCCCAGCCCCTGGTAACCACAAATCTACTTTCTGACTCTATAGATTTGCCTATTCTGGACATTTCACAAAAATAAAGTTATGTAACGCATGTCCTTTTGGTCTGGCTCCTTTCACTTAGCATACTGTTTTCAAGGCTCAACTGTGTCATTGCAGGTATTTTCTCGTTCGCTTTTATGATCCGGTAACATTCCATTATAGGGATATATTGCCTTCTATTTATTCATCATCGTTTGAACATTTGGGTTGTTCCCACTTTTTGGCTACAATGAATAATGCTGCTACAAATAATGCAAATTTTTTGTGAACATGCACTCTTCTCTTGGATATCATATATGCCTACAAGTGGAATTTTGGGGTCATAGAGTAATTGCATGTTTAATGTTAAAGACTTTTTTTGGGTTGTATTTTTAAACAATACCTATGTTTCCGTTACTTGAAACATTTTTATTCTTTACGGTTTTATATTTCTTTAATTTCTAGATTGTAACTGAACATGAATAAAATAAAAAAATCATGTATTTTATTATTAAATATAATAAATGCAAATTTGCAGTATTTTTATTTTATTTAATTTTATTCTACATTTCAGCACATATTAGTAATGAATGTATCTCTCAGATACATGTGACCTATGCTGCAATTTTTTTGCCCACAGCCTCTACAGAGTTCACAATTGGAGGTGCTGTCAAACTGTTTTCCAAAGTGGCCTCACCATGAATGTGTGAAGGTCGCACATTCTCCACAAAATTTGTTATTGTCTGAATTTTTTATTCCAGCCCTGCTGGTGGGTATGAAGTGGTATCTCATTGTGGTTTTGATTTGCCTTACCCCAACCATTAACGATGTTGAGCACATTCTCATGTGCTTAGTGACCATTTGTATGTTTTCTTTAGCGAAATGTCTATTTAAATCCATTGCCCATTTTAAAATTGGGTTATAGTCATTGGTTTTTCTTATGGGGAAGTACCTAGGTCTGTCAGGAGGCAGAAAGAGCAAGGGTAATGCATAGGCAAAAAGCTTTATTGGGGATTTCAAGAGAAGGAATGGGTGAGTCAGGGGGAACGGGCTGCCCAGGTTTGGGATTGGTTCATTTGAACAACATTCGCAGGCTCTAATGTTCAGAGGCTGCCCCTAGTTGCCTGATGCCTGGCCCTGGGGTAATTAGGGCAGAGAAATATTGTTTCCTGGAGTATAAAAGCCAGAGAGAGGAGGTGGTTCAGAGTGTAGGCTCTGAATTTCTTGGTCTGCATATCAAAGGCAAACTATGAATTAGTTAGGCTCCAAGATATCAAACTAAAACATAATACAGACCTGTCCTTCACAATGTAGTATATGCATCGAACCAATGATTGATATACTATACCCCAAGAGCTAGAATGTAAATGTTTAGGAACCAAGGACTGACTCCTCTCACATCACTCCCAGTAACCCGAGTGAACTTTGATCCGTACCAGACTGAGGGCCTGAGGAAATATCTCCTCTAGGAAAACTTTTACTAAAGGTTGCACAGAACCTGCACCTATAAATGTTATCTATCACTTACTGTTTCTTATGCTTGTGGAATAGAAGGCAAAGGAAGGAGTTACCATATTGATGGGAGCAATTATCACTGATTATGATGAGGAAGGTGGGTTGCTGATATAACAGAGGGTATGTAGGGGGGAATGTGACCGGAACTTGAGGTGACTGCATCTTTTGGGGCGTTGATACCTGGTGATACAGTGAAGGGGTGGCAATCATGGTCTGAGAAAGGCAAGATAACCGAGGGTTCAGGTCCCTCAGCGCTGTGGCCTGGGTCGGGTTCCTTGTTTTTTATTGTTGAGGCGTAAGTGTTCTTAATAGATACACAGTTGTAAATATTTTCTCCTATGCTGTGGAGAATCTTTCACTTTCTTGATGGTGTCCTTTGAAACACAGAACTTTAAAAGGTTGTGGTCCAATTAATTTCTTTTTCTTTTGTTACTTGTGCTTTTGGTGTCACATCTAAGAACTCATTGCCTAATTCAGGTTCACAAAGGTTTGTTTCTACGTTTTCTCCAAAGAGTTTTACAGTTTGAGGTCTGACATTTAGCTCTGCTCCACCTTGAGTTAATTTTTGCATACCATGTTTCCTGCTTTTCCTAGTTTGTTGGATTTTGTTAAATGCTTCTTCTGTGCCCACTGAGATGACCTTGTTTTTTTGGTCCTTTGTTCTATTAAATATGGTGTATCACATAGATTCATTTTGTACGTTGAATCAACATTGAATTCCAGGGATTAGTCACTTGGGCATGTTGCTGGACTTGATGTTTTAATATTTAGTTGAGGATTTTTGCAGCTATATTTATGGAGGATATTGGTCTGTACTTTTATTTTCTTGTGATGTATTTGTGCAGTTTTGATATCAGGGTCAGTCTAGTGGATGGTTTGTCAATTTTGCTGATCTTTTCAATTACCAACTTTTGGTTTTATTGATTTTTTCCCTTCCCCCCCAATTATCTGGTTATCAATTTCCACTCTAGTCTCTATTAGTTCCTCCATTCTGCTTGATTTAGGTTTAGTTTGCTTTTTTTTCTGATTTCTTAAGTCAAAAAATGAGGTTCTTTATCGAGAACATTCTTTTTTCCCCAAATATAGACATTTATAGCTATTAATTTCTCTCTGCGCACTGCTGTAGCTACATCTCATAGGTTTTGATATGTTGTGTTTTCCTTTTCATTCATCTCAAAGTATTTTCTAATTTCCCTTATGAGTGTTTGACCCATTGATTATTAAGTAGTGAGCGTGTTGTGAATTCTTCAAATTTTCTTCTGTTATCGATTGTGGTTGGAGAAGGGAGTTAAACTTATTGAGATTTCTTGATGTCCTAACATGATCTGTCCTGGAGGATGTCCCATGTACACCCGAGAAGAATGTGTATTCTGCTATTGTTGGGTGAAATATTCTATAGATATCTGTTAGGACCAGTTTCTTCATAGTGTTGTTCAACTTCTCTATTTCCTTGTTGACCTATTGCCTAGTTGTGTCTGTTATTTAAAGGGTATTGAAGTCTTTCACTATGAATGTTAAATTTTGTGTATCTTTTATTTCCTTTTTCAATTCTGTCAGTGTTTTCTTTGGATATTTTGGGGCTCTGTTACTTAGGTGCAATATACTTACTTGTTCTGTCTTGAAATATGGACACTTTTACCATTATAAAATGCCCTCCTTTATCTCTACATACAATTTTTGCCTGAAGTTTATTTTCTCTGCTATTAGGATAGCCTTTCAAACTGCTTTTTGGGTACTGCTTGCATGGTATATTTTTTTCCATCATGAGGATGTTTCTTTCCCCAGCTGGCACCTGATGGGTAACCCCCACCTCAGCTCCATATCTGCCCTAGTTTCTGGACGCTGGTAAATATTGTCTTCTCCTTGTGTCCCTCCAGCTCTAGGGATGATGGCAACTTTCTGCCATTACTAACCTCTGGGTGACCTTACCAGCCCTTGTTTGACTTCTTAGCTCTTCCATCACCCACATAATTGGCTCTCTTTGTTAAATTCCTTTTGTTTAAAATACTGAGAGGGATCTTGTTTGCCTCAACCCTGACTGATACAAGGTGATTCCTGTCCCCAAGGACTTTAAGATATAGAAGAAGTCAAGGTTAGATTTACCCCTTTTGTCTACAGTTATGATGAAGACCAAGCATGACAAGATGCTATACCGAAAACAAGGGAAGAATATCCAAGATGGAAGAGAGATGGACAAGTAGGTAGAATAGCTATTCTTCTCCCCAGAGTTATGAAGAACACTGAGCTGGGGTGCAGTGCAGTGAGCTTAGTCCTTTTCCAGCTCCTTTATGATCTTGGATAAATTGCCTCTCTTCTCTGGGCCTCAGTTTTCTCAAGGGTATGTAAAGAGATTGGACCACTTAGGAGATACCTAAGCTTTGGCATCTGAGACTGAATTGCAGGACT